AAGAAAAATCACTTCTGTTTTGAGAGTGAATCGAATTGGAAATAAGATCTTTTTGTATTGTGGACCTTTCTTCTATGCACCTTTTGCACATTTACCCATGAAATTTTCGTTGTCCTCATTTTCAAATGGAAATGTTATTTGGATTATAAATCTAAAAGTAGTAGAGCCAGTGTGTTCTTCTGTCTTCCAGTCCCGTTACATAGCAGTAGGTAAATCCCAGTTGAGACTTAAGAAGGAGTGGGACGGCAGTGATAGTTTGGACTTTTTCTCTCCTACTGAACCTGAAAAATTCTATTTATTTTTCTTGCCTATTCCAGCATGGAACACCTCCGTTGCTTATTGCTGCTGGCTGTGGGAATATTCAAATACTACAGTTGCTCATTAAGAGAGGCTCAAGAATCGATGTCCAGAATAAGGTCATAATTCTGTTTTATTGTAAATCAATTAATTGTTTAAGTATTTGCAAATGTCTCCTAATTATAGCAGTAACAGAAAAACATGTATACACTATTTCACTTCTCAGTTTTCCATGAAGGAAGATAAACTGCTTCCATAGCCTGACCTGCTCTAATGTACACTATAAAGAGGCAAGCATTTGGAGTCTGTTGCTTGACATCAGCCTCTTTTTACACTACACATATTTCATACCCCATATTTACTCAAGAGTCAGGTTTGGAAAAAATTGCATTATTAATCCCATCAGAAGTGTGTTTGCTACATGTCTAATAAGGCAACAGAGTAAGGATGAGACACTGAAGGTAAAAATATCATTAGAAGTAAAAACACAATTGATTAATAGCTAATGGTCATTTCAGGATCTGTCATCAGCTTCCATTGACTTTGAAGAGATAAAAGTGGTGGGATCTGGCCCTTTACAAAACAGGAAATTCTATCCAGAGGTTAAAATGAAGCTTTTTAATGAAGAAAAATAATCTTTTATTTTGAAATTTTTAAGTTTACAAATATAGTTGCAGAGGTAACACAGAGACCTTCCTGTCCCCTTCACCCACTTTCCTGCAATGTTAATGTCCTGGCATAACCAGGGTTTATTTGTCAAAACTGAAACATGGAGTTTTATTTCTCTTGGAAATTGCTCCTATGGAGTTTGCCGTCACGTGGGAAGGGAAATACAGTGAGTCTGAGGGCCTCCCCGGTGGCGCAGCGGTTGAGCGCTGGGTTGCGAAGCTGCCCGCGGCCTCTACAGCACTGGTTCGATCCCCGGCTGCTCCCCGGCCACCGGAGGAGGATCCCACATGGTGCGCAGACCTCTCCTGCCACCCGCTGCTCCCCTCAGCAGTGTACTTCATCAGTCTGCCAGCTCTGCTCTCCCCACTGGCTCTGGTGAATTCTCTCACCCTCCCGCACTTCTGACTGTACCCAGTGCATGTATAAACAAAACAAACAAACAAATAAAACAAACAAACAAATAAATAAATAAAAAATACAGTGAGTCTGAGTGATGCATGTGTTCAGACCCATGGATTCTTTGGGAATGTGACTCCATGTTGGTGTTTATACAGGGTGGATCCAATGCCATCTACTGGGCCTCTCGGCATGGCCACGTAGATACCCTGAAATTTTTCAGTGAGAACAAATGCCCCCTGGATGTTAAAGACAAGATAAGGTCATTTCTCTTCTCAGGCACAGGAAGAAGTAATTAAAGGATGCTCTTAAATATTGGCATGCCATGTACGTCAGGACCCAAAGAACAAGGATTCAGAGCCAAAATCTTGTGGCAGAAAATTTAATATAGAAGTTTCTTTTTGCTGGGGTAGCTTACTCTGTTATTAAAATCTGCCTTGAGCTGAAATCTGCCAGGTAGTTGACATGATATGCAAGTTATGATTTACCTGCCTCTTAACATGTTGACTGAAAATTCTACTGGAAAGACAACCAGGGACCTGAGTTCTGACCTGCCTGGTGCCTTTAAACACAATTCTTTACCATTTTCTTCATCTTTGAAGTGACTGACAATGCTGACCTTACAATCACTGGTACTAGAAGGATTAATGAGACAATGCATATAAAGTAAGCCTTTTGAGGCAAAGATAGACAAATTATTGATTTAGCAAGATATTGCATGTTTCAGTCTGCACTACCATCCTTTGAGTCAAGTGGCATTCATGGAAGCTGCACCTAGGAGTCCTACCCTCACATTCATCGTGAATTCTGCCAGGCTTCTAATGACTTGTAGACTCATTTGTCACTTTACATCATGACTGCCACATAAATTTGTGTGAGTTGCTCACTGCACTGTATATAAGAACAACATTCACTACAAAGACACATGTATCTATTACGGCAATTTTCTGTAAGGTGGCAATGTAATATCTTTTGTTTTTTTTTTTATAATAGTTATTCTAACAATTTTTGGCAGATATAAGTAAAATATCACAAGGAAGTTGCACCTTTTACTATTTCACAGAATGTTATTTTATAAGCTAATAATGGTGTTTTAAAAAATCTCTGAGAATCACGTGTGGGATAATGGGGAGTTCTGACAAACAGGGTAAGCCAAATATTGGGGCTACCCTGGGTTCCTAGCTCAGTCATCAAAGGGACACCTGGCCTGGGGGAGGTGGGCCCCCACAAAGGGGAGGATGTGGAGCCCAGCATAGGTGGACCTCCAGGCCCCACAGCTTACTCCCAGGGGAGCACTGACCCTTTGTTTCTTTTGCAGTCTAGAGAGACAGCTCTTCATGGGGCAGCTCGCTATGGTCATTCTGACGTGGCCCAGTTACTGTGCAGCTTTGGCTCTAATCCCAATTTCCAGGACGAGGTGGGTCATGGTAGCTGTTGCCCTCACTTTCTCCAGCTCTCAGCATGGTGGACAGATAGCTAAACAATATGGTTGGGTCCTTTGGGTTTTATCCAAAGTTAGTTTTCTACTTAAGTTACAGAAGGCAGGGGATCAAACAGAAGTACTAACGTTCGTTCATTCCTTTCACCCTCTGCATGGATAACGCTGTGATTTCAAATTTCAGTTGAGAATCTAAGGCAAGTGGAGGTTCAATAACTTGCCTAAGGTCACATAGTTCTTAGTGGTGGAGCTGGGGTTTGCACTCAGAGTCTGGTTTCAGCATCCGTGTTCATGACCACTACATGATATCGGTACATGTCTAACAAGCTGCACGTGAATATCTAGGTTTTACAGTCCTGCCAACCCCATGACCAGCCCTTTCCTTGACCTGTTAAAGTTTTGATTTCTCAGCTACTTCTCTGCCAGAGTAATATTACATTTATGTGATTCATTTTTTTGTGTTATGCCATAACAGAAATGGTGAAGCATTAATGGTTGGAAGAATTCTTGTTCAGAGAATACTCTCCTACTGTTTAGTAGTCTCAGATGAAAGCACTTTTATAAGAAAGCTGCCTTAAGTCCACCCACACTGGGTTCTATTGTTCAGAAGAGTTGAACTGATGGTTCCAGTAGGCTTCCAGAAGCCACTTGTCAGGCATATATAAAGAAAGCCAAATTCATCTAGCACATAAGTGTTGAGGAAAGAAAACTAATGAAGAAGTGACATCAGACCTGTGTCCATTATTTCAGATTAATGTTTCACTCCAATAACATAAGTTTCCTGCTGCCTTGACTTTGATTTGCTATCAAATTGTGTGGAGACCCTCACTGTGCCTATAGTTTCTTCCATGCTTTAGCATTGTCCTCCTCTATGTTTCCTTGGCCAGGAGGAAGAAACTCCCCTGCACTGTGCTGCCTGGCATGGCTACTATGCTGTGGCCAAAACCCTTTGTGAAGCTGGCTGCAATGTGAACATTAAGAACAGGGAAGGAGAGACACCCCTGCTGACTGCCTCTGCCAGGGGTTACCATGACATCGTGGAGTATTTGGCTGAGCATAGAGCCGACCTTAATGCTTCTGACAAGGTGCTTTGTGGGTAAATGTGTCACATTCACTGAGAAGTGAGCTTGGGGATTGGAGGGGTCACAAGACTCCTCAATTTATGCAAAATAACAAGCTTAAATGCAGCAAATTAAAATTATGCTTTCTCTGTTCCAGGGATTCTGAGTTTTCTGGTTTCTGTTTAATATTCATTTGTCACATGTAACAAAATTTATGAATTGGTCAGACTCAGTTTTCTATATTATTTTTTATGTTTTTAGCTTTGGAGCATGTGCAATGATAATCACTGAGCCCAAGGCAATTCTTATTTAGAGCTAAAATTAGCAATGCATGATTATTTTGTAGATAAGCAAAGCATAAGTGGTTTACTTATTTCCATCACCTGAGGACAATAGGCTACTCTTATTTGTCTGATAATATCAATTTTAGACCAAGTGTTCCTTTTAATTTTAATTAAGCAAATTCAGCATAATCTATTGTGATTGTTGAACTTGTACTTAAGATGAGGTTTTGATGTTGCCATATGTAATCATATTTGGTAACTGCCATTGTAGAGTATTTTCCTGGTACAGATGAGTGGCTCTCAAGCACACCCAAGGGATATTTGGTAATGCTGAAGGCATTTTTGATTGTCCCAGCAGGGCTGCAGGTTACTACTGGGATCTAGTAGATAAAGACCAATTGAGGAAGTCATCTTGCATTGCTTTTTCAATTTCTCCTGGTGTAAGATAATAGACTTTCTGCTTAGGAAGTTAGTAAAGTTTGCTAAGCAAATGTTTTCCAAACTCTTGATAAAATAAGCCATTGGAATCCCAATTATTACTTACCCTATAAATTGAGAGGCAAAAATGTAGAATCTGATATTACTGTAAAGCCCAGATGAATCAAGCTGGTGGTCAGCTGTGATTATGCAGAGTGGTTTGTATGAATCTTGCCCCAGCCCCCAGGTGTAACTGCCACTTAATCCTCCTTTAGGCTTTGCAATAGCAATCTCATTTCCAATTAAGCCTGGCCTAGTTGCAGCTGGGAAGATGAGTGGCCAGGCCCATGTACCTGTGACAGTGCTCACAACCCCTGTGTTTATTGCAGGATGGACACATTGCTCTTCATCTTGCTGTATGATGATGTCAGATGGAGGTCATCCAGATCCTCATCAGCCAGGGATGTTTCATTGATTTCCAAGACAGGCATGGCAACACCCCTCTCCATGTGGCCTGCAAAGATGGAAACATGCCAATTGTGGTGGCCCTCTGTGAAGCAAACTGCAATTTGGATATCCCTAACAAGGTAACCCTGAACAAAAAGACATGCAAAGCCCACTGGGGTCCATTTACCTGCTTCTGGGTTTGGGTCAAGTTTCTCTTCACATGTCTTCATTGTTTAGTCATTATTACTCATGTGGACCTGTTCTTTTAATAGGGCTCTTCATTTTAAGTCATGTTTTACATAAGACTTATGAATAACAGAAAATTATTACATAAATAAGTTCTCCTTGACTAGCCTGGTTTACCATGAAAAATAAAGTCTCAGTGATAGATAAAGAGTTTATTAGATAATCAAAGTTAGGCTCCAAACCCTGGAAGCATCCCAACAGATTTTTTCTGTGAGAGCTGTTCTGGTAAATATAAATTTGAAGTTATCTTGTGTAGGTAAAACAGTGAGCCATTGATATTTAAGTATGTGATTATTCTTGATAGAAGGGACTTCTGGTTCATAATGGTCCTAATCTGAAGATATGCTGATGCTAGAGGAAAGCAATCAAGGTTTAATCTTTTCCTTTCTGAGGAAAGCCCTACAGAGGTATGAAGGTTGGCTTCCATTGTTAAATATTCTTTATCTAGAAAGGCTGACTTACAACTTCAGGGAGCAGACTTCTATACACAGATGGGCCATGTGAAGATGGCATTGTCCATTTGTTGGGCCAGAGATATGATCCCCAGTAATTTTTATATTTTGTTTATTCATTAATGGGCAAAAAGAAAGAGAGACAGTCAGACGGACAGGCAGGGACAGGTCTCCTATGGAGGTGGGTAGGGTTCCTGACAGGTACCAGCTATAGATTAGAGGTTCTCACAACCCCTCCTTCAAATTTCAAGTGCCAGTTGCAGGCCCAGGTTAGTATGTGCTTCTGATCAACTTCATAGACCAGAAATTTCCAGAACAGCCTCCTCAAATTTGATTAATTTACTCAAGCAATTCACAGAACTCAGGAAACCCCTTTACTAATTTATTACAAAGGATCTAACTTAGGAATAGCCAAGTGGATGAGTTGTATAGAGCAAAGCATAAGGAAAGAGTAAAGAGCTTCCCTGCCCTTTCCAGATGCACAAGTCTCCACAAATCTCTAGATGTTCACCATCCTTGAAGTTCTCGGAAGCCTCCCCCTGTTAGCATGACCAGGAACCCCAAGTGTAAGGGCTTGCATGCTCTAAAAGGGAATTGGCCATCCTCCTTCACAACGGCAAGAAAAGCAGACTCTTATCTAGAATATCTTTAAAGAGAATTAGTGTGCACAGAGAGAGAGAAGAGAAGAAAGGATATTCCTAATAGTAGTTTCCCAATAAAACACCCCAAATTACCCATCCTCTTGTGGACTAATACCCGGCCAAACAATGTCAGCCCAGGCAGGGCTGTGGAGGCCGAAAACCGTGTCACAAATCCAAAACACCCTCTGGCAGAAACACAAGAAAGGGGCCAGGCAGGACTGGGGTAAAAGAAGGGACACAAAAATACAAATCAAGATAACAGCAGCCATGCTTAGCCTCTCCACATGTCTCCTGTCATGTGTCTATTCCAATTGTTCCTCCCTGTCTCCATGTATCTCCTCTGATCTTCTTCTAGCACTACCATGGTGTAAGGTGGGGCTGCAGAAGCAAGATCTCCTGAGCCTGCTTGTGTTCAGTTATATACCAGGTGGGGCAGATTCTCCTTCCCTGTGGTATGTCCTGCCCTCTCCTTACCTCAATTCAATTCCCCCAGAAATAAAAATGGCCAATCAGATCCCACCCCTTTCACCAGTATGTGGCAGGAATGTGTCATTATCTTTGGCACTTACTGCAGTGAAACACCTGCAGGGACTTACTGCAGGTGTTCTTCTCATATACAAATCAGAAGAGTGACTGTTTTACTTGGTCTTGTTAGAAAACACAAGAGGACCAGAACTAGATGATGCAGAATGCACAACCCTTAACTGTTTCTTTCTGGGTTGGAGCTTCTTGGTAATGAAGTTACATACCCTCAGTGAGGAGAGCATGTACACACGCACAGCAGGAAACTATTTAATAATCCTGTGATAAGTCTCCCACTCATTCATCCTTTCAGTTAGTCTTTTAACTGAAAAATACTTGAAAATGTTCTGCTTGGTTTGTTTGCTTCCCTAGATAGCATGTTTCTGGAGAATGGAGGCTGTGCCTCCCCTTTCAGGTGGGTCCTAGCTCCCTTCCATATTGCTGACCCTGGGGGATAGATTCCATAAATATCATCATCAGCAACAATGTTGAGAAGGAATCCTTGTGTCTCTTTCCTATCTTTCAGTATGGACAAACGCCCCTACACCTTGTAGCCAACTACAGGATCCTGGATGTAGTCTGCATCCCTCTGTCAGACAGGAGCCAATGTGGAGGCGCTCACCTCGGTGAGTGATTTGCTTCCTGGAGATGTCTTCAGACCTCAAGGGCACCAGGGGAAGGAATTGCTTGGCAACTGCATTCCAAAGCAGACAAGCTGCTATTAGGCTTCATCTCTTCCACTGTAGTTACATCAACATTTGCCCACACATAAACAGACCCACGCTGCCAGGAGCGCCTACTCTTCCCCTCTGGCTTTTTGTTTCCTGTATTACACACACACACAGTGCTGTTGCCTTTTTTATTTAGATGTCTGTTTTTGTTTAGACGCTGTTGCTTTGTTTCCTAAATTCTCTCCCTCCACAACAGGGCACTGGGGGCTCTCTGGGCTTCAGGGAGAGAGACTAGAATCCTCAGTGTGTAGGGATCTGTTGACCAGAGTTGTTCACTCTCTCTCTCTCTCTCTTTTTTTTTAAAGATTTATTTTATTTATACAAGAGCCAGGGTACAGGCCAGATGTGCGGGAGGGTGAGAGGATTCATCAGAGACAGAGTAGGGAGCAGAACAGGCAGACAGACCGAAATACACTGCTGAGGGGAGCAGCGGGCAAGAAAAGAGAGGTCTGCTGCACCACGTGGATTGCTCCGAGGCCAGTGGGGATTGAACTGGCACTGCAGAGGCTGTGGACAGCTTCACAAGGCTGTGCTCAATCACCTGCGCCACCAGGGAGGCCCAGAGCTGTTCTCTCTTGTTGAAAAAGTGTGGCCTTGCTATTAGGCCTGCAAAATACTGTTATTTTTTAAAATTTTCTTCAAAATATTTTTTATAATTTTTTTTACATAGCAATAGACATTATTTGTTGCTACTTTTATTTTCTTTAAATTATTTGTTAATGAGGTAAAATTGTTTCACTTTAGGGGTTATAGGTTTAAACCTCTGCAAATATACATTTATACAACATGCCCTTTACCTGCCCACCAACAGTGTAGGGGGTTCCTTTTTTCTCTATACCCTCACCAGTTGTTTCTGGTCTGTTTGATGTGGGCCATCCTCACTAGTGTGTGCTGGTATCTCATTGTGGTTTGAATTTGCATTCTTTCATGTGTCTGTTGGCCATCATACACTCAGGTCTTATGCCAATTTTTTGATTAGGTTAATGGATTATTTTTTTTTGTATTGAGTTGCATGAGTTCTTTATATATTTTGGGATTCAGCCCTTTATTAAGACATATGATGTGCAAATATTTCTTTCCATTCAGTAGGGTGGCTTTTGTTTTACTAATAGTTTCTTCTCCCCTTCCTTCCAAAATATTTTTAAATGAGATTTCTTCAGCTCTTCTCCCTCCCTACTCCTCATTCCAGACCTGACACTTTCCTGCAGAAGAAACCCTTTGATTCACATTTCATGAAACATCACAGAAGAAAAACATGTCTATTAATGAGATAAGGTTGCTGTTTATTGCTGCATTAAAATATCATTTGAGTTGTTTTTGCCTCAATGACGAGTTGACTCTCCATCCTGTTCCATGGGATACTCCTGAAACCCCCAAGAGCTTTGCTGACATATAACATTTCTATAAGGAGTTTTAAAATTTGGTGACTTAGACTGGAAGTAGGACCTCATTTCTTGGAGAGTCATACAGGGGTTGGCAAACAGTGGCCCAAGGGCCAAGTCTAGTCTGCTGCCTGTTTCAATGGATGACGTTTTATTGGGAAACAGCCATACTCATAGATTAGGGCAGGCATTTCTTTTGAAAGTCTGAAAATTATCCTTTAGAACAATATATTTTGCAAACTGTTATGTGCTACATAAATGTAAGGAAGTATTGTTGATTTTGGTTTTCCTGTCATTTCAAGAGCTTTACCAGTGGAGAGTACTTTTTCCAGTGCATGTCTTATACTTGTGTAATATGCTGATATGAGGTCTCTTAGAGAAAAAATATTTGTGGTCAGGCATACAGAGACAGAAGATTTAAGCTGAGACTCAGATTTTGTTACCGCAGACTAATGTTTTCCAGGTAGGAGTGTGGCAATGAGATTCTTTTATTTATTTATTTATTTTTAAGATTTATTTATTTTATTTATACAAGCACCGGGTGCAGTCAGAAGCGCGGGAGGGTGAGAGAACTCACCAGAGCCAGAGCAGACAGTAGAACAGGCAGACTGACAAAGTATACTACTGGGGGGAGCAGTGGGCGGCAGGAGAGGTCTGCGTGCCATGCGGGACCCTCCTCAGGTGGCCGGGGAGCAGCCGGGGATCAAACCGGCAGTGCAGAGGCTTCAGGCAGCTTCACAACCCAGCGCTCAACCGCTGAGCCACCGGAGAGGCCCAGCAATGCGAACTCTTAACAATCCCCAGTGATTCTGTTCCAGGACAACTCCAGGGAAACAGGTGGCCAGGGTATGAGTGCTTACCTGTGCACTTAAGAATTCAGGACAAAATCCAAAAGCAGACACACAGAGAGAAATTAAGAAAAAAAGAGGCTTATTTACAAAGACAGCTGGGGTGTGGGAGGTGTAGAGAAAGAGTGAAAGAGAGAGGGAGACGTTAATTGGCCAATACACAGTCAAGTACCATCTGTCCTGCCAACAATAGGTACCAGGGTGCAAGTCCAGGCTACAGAATCCAGATCTCCCAGGCTCATTGGATTGTTATATACCAAGCATGGAAGTTTATCTCCACCCTTATTTCCCAGTAGCTCCCCTACTCAGGAAGTCCTATTCACGACCCACTGGAACCTGTAGTTCAAAGTGGCTAATATGTACATGGAGTTGGGGAAAATGGTACCTCCTCTTTACAAAGGCATATATGTAACAATTCCAGTGTGTGATAGAGTTTGGGAACCTCCAAATTAAGGCCTTTTTTTTTTTTTTTTTTTTTTTTTACCATGTCAGTAAAGAACTAGAAAATTCTCATGAATTCTGCTTTGGTGATGTAGTGTGTGACAACGAGACAGGGCAAGCTAGGGTTATTAGGCAGTTTTAGGGACAGTGCAGGAGGGGACCTGTGAAGAATTTAGGGAGGCTTCAGAGATAAGGACAACCAAAGAAATATAACCAATTCCATTAGGAAAAACAAACATGCCAGGACCAAGGACAACATTGTTAATGCTGGTCCTGGTTTCCTTCAGGTGGTAAAGGGAGGCGGAGATTGGAGAAATGGAGAGTGGTTTAATTTATAGTCACATTAGAAGGGCAGCTGTTTAACTTCAATGCAGGGATGCCCATCCAGAGGACTGGGCCATAAATTTAAAGATGCAACAAATGGGGAAAGAGAAAGCTGTTAGATAAGGAATGTGAAGATCCCGCACTCAGTAGCAAATTAAGTAAGACAGCCGAGAACTAACCAATCACAAAGAGACTGGTGAAGTTTTAGAATAATGAGGGAAAAAAGGTCTATATTCCCTAAGACACAACTCTACTTTGGCTTCCTTGCCCCTCCCAGGTCTGGTTCCCTGGCCTGGGAGTCCCACTTTATTTCTGCTCTTTTCCTCCTCAATAAACTTTTTCTTTCTATAAACGAACCTGCCTCTTCTCGCTTGCTTGCCTGAGCGTCTGCGAAGTTCCTGCTGCGGCTTCGTGAGACACCAACCCGTGGCGGTCTAGTGGCTGGGGCTCAGCGCTGCCCTGCAGCCTGAGATCCGTTCCTGGCTGGGAGACTAGGCCTGACAATTCCGGTATCAACAAGATACCTAATTCACAGTAAAGTAAACCATAAGCCCGTCCCACTTTTATTAGAGAGGCTTTAGGATTTTAAGGGTACAGAGGGAAGTGGGCAGCAGGGTTGATTATCAAGTGAACCTCCTGGAGCATGCTTCAGGGGCAGCCTAAGGGACAAGTCCACCCCCCACCTCCCCAGGGGACATTTGGCTGTGTCTAAAGACACCACATTTAAGTTGTCTCAAACAGGGAAAGGGGATAATACTGCTGGCATCTAGCAGTAGAAGCCAGCAATGCTGTGGCAACACACAGGACAGTCATCCACAGGAGAAAACTGCACTGTCCAAATGTCAGTAGCTCTGAGCTTCAGAAATGCTAGTCTAATGGGACCTCCCCCTCTTTGTGTGACTTGGATAGATTTGCGTTGAATTGAAAGGTGTCCTGTTACATTGATTTGAGTGTCCCTAGCTTCCATGGGAATGGAATTTTAACCATTACTGACAAGCATTGTGGCCAAATGCTTCTTGTTTAAAAAAAAAAAAATAAAAAAAGAGCTTTCATTTATTTGGAAATTGCTTCTTTCCTACTTTTAACTTGTTAATCATTTCTAAAACTGCAACAGAATCGTCCCTAAGCACCTGTTTCTTCCTCAGGGATCAGTGGATTGTGAACCATAATAGTTCTTACAGTCTCTTCCCCCCACCCCTCACCCCCAGGGCAACTCTGAGGTTAATGCATGCAAAGTACTAAGAACTAGATCAGCCATGGTTGATTAGGAGTGCTCAATAAATGTTAGCCATTATCTGCCTGTATAGTCATGGCACAGAAATAGAAATTAATTCCGTTGGTATGAAAATGGAACTCAATGAAAATTCTCTAATTAAAAAGCAAACCCTACTCATGGTGTATTTTATTGTAGATTAAATGTCTGAACCACCTTAAAGTCTAAAAAAAGCAAACCCTGAAGTGCTGTGGATTCTTCTTTTAGGTTCACTGAAAATCTTTAAATCAAAATTGTCTGTAAAACATAGCCTTTTCTTTGAAATTCACAGCAATTAGCTGTAACTAGCATGACATGAGTGCTGAGGTTTGTCCATGAAAGGATTTTAAGACATTAGCGTGCACTAAATAGCAGTTGGCATTTAATGACAGTCTTTATTGTCTACCTAACTGGAAAGAAGCTCAGAACATGGAGTAATATGCCTACTAATGAGATACTGAGTTTGATTAAAGCCTGTGGGCCTGAGACATCTCATTATTGGACCTCAAAACACCAAAGCATGATGTTTTCCTACTTTATCTTCCTCTCCTGGAAAGTCAAGTGAAATAAGGATTTCACAGAAAGAGATATAATCCAAGACATATTCTTTTTGCCTACCTTTTTTGTTTCTCAGCCCTGTTAAGCTTCTTTCTGTTAAGAGGATGCAATGAGTACATGGAAACAATTCTCTGTTGCAAAGAGAAAAATTAATCAATTTTTTCCAACAGGATAGAAAGCAGAAGATCTTGCTAAATCAGAACAGCGTGAACATGTAGCAGCTCTCCTTGCAAAACTTTGAAAGGTGAGAAATTCTGCTTATTAGTCTGAAATTATCTGTTTTTATGTGGAAAATTCTGTCTTTTTCCCTTTTAAATACTAAGAATGAAGGAAATGGGCTTTGGGCAGACAAGTGCTACCAAAAAACATCAGTTCCTGTCCTGTGGTTTGCATATCAATTTGCATAAATGCATAAGCTACCTGCCTAGTTTCTTCTAGGCTGTGGGAATTATTTATATTGTTCATATTCTTTACCATTGCTGTGCCTGATTTCTTTCCTCTCTGTAATAACGCTTCGCCTCACTCCCCATAAAGTAGAGAAGAATCGAGAAACCAACTCTCAGCTTCTGTCCTTAATGTCTGAGCTCCAAGGTATCATGTATGCTCCAGTTGAGTACACATCATTGTTCTGAGGTTTATGGAAAGATGGCAAAAAGAAGTTAGTGCCAGTGTGCCTTTTCAATACCAATATGTCTAGAGACTCTAAAATAGTCACATCCTTTAGACATGGAACTCTGTGTTTGGGATTCTATCCTAAATGACTGAAAGAAATTTAGTTGGGGTGAGGGGCCAGGGGAAGTTTTATGCACAAAGATGTTCACTGGATCTTTAAAAGCATACAAGATCAAGCTTTTAAAAATATGCAGGACAGGATAGAGGTCGCCCTCCATAAATTGGATATGGCGCAGACTCGGGTTATGGCACAGAGAAAGGATAAACCTTCCTCTTTCCATGAGGACTGCCAGCGGGCAGAGTTAAAAGAGGAGTAGCATCATATTTTAAATACTTTAAATACATCAGGACAAAAGCCTCTTCCATGTGACAAGGCCCCTCCCATGCAGACTCCTGAGGCTTCACAGCCTCCACTGCCCTCTGGGGAGGACACTAAAATGGCGTCTCCTCCCCACACTAGACTCGGCACCCATTTTGGCAGGAAGGACCACCCTGAGGCAGGACAGTTTCCCCTTCACCAGATGCCAATGGGTGGCTTGAATGAACATGGGAGACCTGCTGGGTCTCCATCAGGTCGCACCATCCTTTCAGTACTGCGGACCTCCTAAATTGAAGGAGCTCTGTTTCCTCGTACTGGCAGGCTCCTAAAAGGATGACAAACTTGTTTGCCTCTATCTTCGTCTCCCACCACCCTAACTGGGCAGATATACAGTCCATGCTGCATACTTTATTAACTCTGGATGAGCAGAGAATGGTATTCAAAAAAGCCAGGGAGGAGGCTGACCATCTCCACCAACAGGATAGGCAGTCCCCAGAGCAGGAGGTTGTTGTCCCAAAAAAAGATCCTGGACAGGACCCTAACAATGGAGGAATGGCAATGTTGGATCTGTATAAAAAAAAAATTTATTTGTAGGACTACAGCAAGGAACCCCCAAACAAAAAAACTTTAACAAAATATTGCAACTCAGAGACCGGGCGTGCAGGGGAGTGCGTCCCCAGCACCGACATTTTGCAGCAGGGGCCTTTATTTGGTGGAGACTGTGTGAAACCAGCAGAAGTCTCCCTGAGGAGCCAGAGTGAGCTGAGAGGCTTGCCCAAGCCAGGCCCCTTCTGGCGTGCAGTACAGCAGGGACCTTTCTTTGGTGGAGACTGTGTGAAACCAACAGAAGTCTCCCAGAGGAGCCAGAGGTGAGCTGGAAAGTTCGCCCAAGATGCCGGCCAGGACCAGCAACACAGTGTCCCAAGGAATATGGCAAATTAGAAAACAGGCAGCAGGGAGTAGAAAAACCACATGCAACCCAGCAACTCCTCAGGAAAAAAGCACACCACAAAAAGAAAACCACCTACCAGATTGCAACGACAGTAACTTGGAAGAACTTCTGAGCCTTCCAGATAGAGAATTTAAAATTGCCGTGATTAAAAAACTGACAGAAGTCATAAAGGAAAACAATGATAAGGGAAAAATAATTAATGACCAGAAGAATGAAACTGAGTCCCTAAAGAGGGAAGTAAAAGAAATGCAGGAGATCAAAGAATTAATGGAGGCACTAAAGAACTCTGGGAAAAGCAATGAAAGCAGAATAGATGAAATCGAAGAATGAATAAGTACTCTCGAAGACACAGAAATAAAAAGAACTAAAACAGGAAAGGAAGGTGAACTACGAAGGGAGAAGTACGAAGGAAAAAGACTGAAGAAAGACTTCAGGAACTATCTGACTCCATGAGGAAAGGAAATATTAGAGTTATAGGAATCCCAGAAGGAGAGGAGAGAGATGTAGGAACAGAGAAAATATTCAGGGATATAATTGAAGAGAACTTCCCAAACATGAAAAAGGAGCTGAAAATTGATATACAAGAAGCAAGAAGAACACCAAACTTCCATGACGAAAGGAAAAATACAGCAAGACACATAATAGTAAAGCTCCCAAGAATCCAAGACAAGGAAAAAATAATGAAGCTGACAAGAGGGAAGAAACAGATAACATTCAAAGGAAAACCAATCAGACTGACATCAGACTTCTCTGAAGAAAGACTACGGGCAAGGAGAGAGTGGAGGGGCATAGTCAACAGACTCCAAGAAAACAGATGCCAACCAAGAATACTCTATCCCGCAAAGCTCTGCTTCCTCTATGAAGAAAGAATAAGGACTTTCCCGGACAAAAAGAAATTCTGGAATTTCATTATGACTAAACCCCCACTCCAAAAAATACTACAAGGAGTCCTAAAGCCACAACCACAGAGGGACAATAACAACAAAAGAAGGCCAAAAAAAAGTTATTAAAAGAATAAATAAATAAAATCAAAGGAAAGACAAACACAATGGCAAATACAGATGCTAACATATCAATACTAACTCTAAATGTAAATGGACTAAACTCTTCAATAAAAAGACACAGAGTCACAGGCTGGATTAAGAAACAAAACCCAACCTTTTGCTGTCTCCAGGAAACACATTTAGCTGCAAAAGATAAAAATAGACTCAAAGTTAAAGGATGTAAAACAATTCTACAAGCAAATTGACCAAAAAAGAAGGCAGGAACAGCTATACTCATATCAGACAAAAGAGATTTCAAACTCAAAAAGATAAAAAGAGACCCCAGTGGTCATTACATTATGATCAAGGGGACAATACTTCAAGAAGAAATAACACTCATTAACATATATTCACCAAAAGAAGGAGCACCAAAATATATCAGACAACTATTGGCATCTCTGAAAACAGACATCAGAGAAAACACATACATAGTGGGAGACTTCAACACACCATTATCAACGATGGATAGATCAACAAGACAAAAAATAAGTAAAGACACTAAAGCTCTAAATAAGGATCTAGAGAGCTTGGGCTTAACAGACATCTATAGAACACTAAACCCCCCAAAAATCTGAGTATACATTTTTCTCAAGCGCACACGGATCATTCTCCAGGATTGATCATACTGGGGCACAAGACAAACATCAACAGATACAGCAAGATTGAAATCAAACCAACCATCTTTTCTGACCATGAAGGCATCAAACTAGAAATAAACCATAAAAAAAGGCAAGGTACTCTCCTACCTCATGGAGATAGAAACCCACACTACTAGAAGTCCACTTGACTAACTAGGAGATCAAAGAAGAAATTTAAAAATTCTTTGAATTGAATGACAAGGAGGACACCAATTTCCTAAATGTATGGCATGCAGCAAAAGCAGTAATAAGAGGAAAATATATAGCAATAGAGGCTCACATCAAGAAACTAGAAAGAACTCAAAGAAACAGCCTAATCTCGAAGCTCAAAGATCTAGAAAAAGAACAACAAAAAAACCCCAAAACCATTAGAAGAAAAGAAATAATAAAAACCAAAGCAGAAATAATGAAATCAAAATTAAAAAAAACAATCCAAAAGATCAATGAAACCAAGAGCTGGTTCTTCGAAAAAATCAATAAAATAGACAAACCCCTAGCCAGGCTCACAAGGGAAAAAAGGGAGAAAGCACAAATAAACAGGATCATAAATGAAAGAGGAGAAATCACAACAGACACAGCAGAAATCAAAAGAATAATCAATAACTACTATGAACAGTTATATGGAAACAAGTTCAACAATCTAGAGAAGATGGACAAATTCCTACAACTCTACAATCACCCAAAGCTAGATAAAGAAGCAATAGAACACCTAAACAGACCAATTACAAGCAGCGAAATTGAAATGATAATCAAAAACCTCCCCAAAAACAAAAGCCCAGGACCTGATGGATTTACAAATGAATTCTACCAAACATTCAGAGATGAATTAGTGCCTATCCTTCACAAACTCTTCCAAAAAATTGAGAAGGAAGGGACAATACCAAACACATTCTACGAAGCCAACATTACACTAATACCAAAACCGAACAAGGACAACACAAAATAGGAAAACTACAGGCCAATCTCCCTAATGAACACTGATCCAAAAATCCTCAACAAAATTTTAGCTATCAGAATCCAACAATGTATCCATAAGATAATTCACCACGACCAAGTAAGTAGGATTCATGCCAAGGACACAAGGATGGTTCAACACCCGAAAATCAATCAACGTTATCCAACACATCAACAAAAAGAAATATGAAAAACATATGATAATATCAATAGATGCTGAGAAAGCTTGCGACAAAGTGCAACACGCATTCATGATAAAAGCCCTTGAAATTCTTGGGATACAAGGAACATACCTTAACATCATAAAGGCCATCTATGACAAGCCAATAGCCAGTATCATTCTCAATGGCAAAAAGTTGAAAGCATTTCCATTAAGATCTGGAACAAGACAAGGATGCCCACTCTCACCACTGCTTTTCAATATAATACTGGAAGTCCTAGTGAGAGCAATAAGACAAGAGAAAGACATCCAAGGAATCCAAATAGGAAAAGAAGAAGTCAAACTATCACTATTTGCAGATGATATGATAATCTACATAGAGAACCTCAAAAACTCCATAGAAAAACTAATTAATCTCATCAATCAGTTCAGCAAGGTGGCAGGATACAAAATCAACATGCAAAAGTCAGTAGCCTTCCTATACACAAACAATAAATCTGAAGAAG